ATTCACAGTAGCAACTGGAGATCCAAAAGGGGAAGGTTCGTGCATAATCTGTGCGCTATTTGCACATGCAAGGGGCATATCTGTGCCAATGAGAACATTTGTCCCCTTGATCGTTATGAGAGCGTTCTTAGAGCATCTTTGGAAACATGCTGCAGCGTAACACGGAGGGAATGTTTCTGACACGTATCCTCAGCACTTGAACCTGTTACTAACCTATCTCTGTGGTGGAAAGAGCTTTATATGACTTCTGCAATTTTACCTAAATAATGAATCTCTTGCACGTCATCCTCACCTCTGTGGTCCCCTCTGACAGCCCTTTCCTGTAATGACAGCTGACGTCAGGTTCCTGGGTCGTGGGGTGGATTCCTGCTCAGAGGACAACTGGTTTATTACAGGATGAAGCAATACTGCCTTCTGAGTGGGGACTGTCGTGGGTAGATTTCAACAAATTATCAATTATACCCAGACCGACTGGAGAGATTTATGGGCTGGTTTTAATAGGGATTATACTCATTTATTTGCTTTCTGTTTTGCAGCAGGGTAAACTCTGGTTTCCTCTGAGCTGTGCAGCTGCTGTAAATGGTAATAGGACAGCAGTGTCAGTCAGAGTAGTGCTGTGATTGGGACACGCATCCTGCGCTGGCTGTGTCTGAGGGCTGCATCTGGAGCTGGAGAGGGGAAAAGTTTAACATGAAAACGAACTACATGCAATTACCAATTTATAGGGAAGCTCATAAGGAATCCAGATGGTGGTGGCACTGGGTTGTTAAAACTGTTCTTCTGAAGAAACTGGAAGAAGAAATTAAAAAAATGCACATGTGCACTATACAGCAGAAGTTGTCAGAGCGTCCTGGAGTATTTCGTATTAGTAAGAATATATTAATCGCCAAGTTTTACATCAAATGTACTTTGTGCTAAATAAGCATTTATCACCAAGATAGCAGCACCAGTGTAAAAAATGCAGGAACAGGTGGAGACAGGAATATTTTATGGATCTGTGACAGAGCTATCGTCAGAGCATGCCACCTCCTCAAACTGAGCTGTCGTGTGACGATGAATTCGATCTATGCTAGTTTGCTTGACTGCAACGTGGGACCTGCTGAGGTCCATCACATGAGCAGCTGCAGCGAACTGTAGACGGTATTTAAGCAGGTAGAAGATGATTTTGCAATTCCATCTTGGCAGAAGCGGGGCAGCGTAGGTCCATTTCCTTGTCAGAGTCAGGTGTGGAGTGGCAAGGACCCTGGGGAGAAATGGCTGTGACTTTCGTCTTGAGACCAGGTGACGTTGTATTGTCACGGTTGCAGATTGTCATAGCAATAAGAAGGCACTGCAAATACTGTGGTACAATTACAGCTTGTCCTGACTTCACTATTTTCCATCTCTCTGCACTTTAGAATTATCTGGTAAAAGCTAAATGCTCTAAGTCTAGGTCTAGAAGTGAAGATAGTTTTTCTTAAGCAGTTAGCGCAAAAGTAGAAGGGGGTAGTATCCAGACTGCCATCATGAAACAGGCGAGCTCTCCAAACAGAGCAAGCTCTTAGCGGTGTGTATGCAATACTGTGGGCAGATAGAGGCTGCAAGGACTGGAAAGTATTTCACCACGCCTTTTTCCAAAGCTAGTGTTTACCTGTGCTGCATGACCACAATGCTTGCGTAGCAGTCTCACAGCGGGTGGTTCCCAGTTTACTCTCCCAGATACGCTCTACACATCTGGGCAACACCAGCATTATGAACTTCAAAGCTCCAGCAGTGATACGAGCCCTGGTATGCCATGTCTTAGGAGATCCCTCTCATCCCAGGGAGGGTGCTGACAGGCTTGTTTCAGCTAAATTGAAAGCTTTGTCTTTAGTCTATTAACTATAATTCTTCCTCTTTTTAATATAATTTGATCATAGACTTCTAACAATATGAAACACAACCTGCTTGTTCATTATCAAAATCTGCACTATATTGTTAGAGCTCTACAAGGTTAACACACATGTGATGGACTATTGAAACAAGCTGGTGAGAGAGCTTTGTCACAGAATCATAGAATCGTTTAGGTTGGAAAAGACCTTTAAGATCATTGAGTCCAACCGTTAACCTAACACTGCCATTCCCACTAAACCCTGTCCCTAAGCACCTTGTCTGCCCATCTTTTAAATACCCCCAGGGATGGGGACTCAACCACTTCCCAGGGCAGCCCATTCCAGTGCTTGACAACCCTTTCTGTGAAGAAATTTTTCCTGATGTCCAACCTAAACCTGCCCTGGCGCAACTTGAGGCCATTTCCTCTTGTCCTATCACTTGTTACTTGGGAGAAGAGATGGACACCAACCTTACTACACCCTCCTGTCAGGCAGTTGTAGAGAGCGATAAGGTCTCCCTCAGCCTCCTTTTTTCCAGGCTGAACAACCCCAGTTGCCTCAGCTGCTCCTCATGAGCCTTGTGCTCCAGACCCCTCTCCAACAATGACCCCACATGCAATGGGTCGAAGGTGATCCTAGCTTTTCAACTGTGTCTCCTTTTCACTTAAAAAAATTCACTTGGAGTCAAAAACGAAACCACTCGACTTCATAATATCTATGTACCAAGCATTTCTCTGACTCATATCCCACATACCCCCTGCAGTGATTTTGTAAGTCAGGGCAAAATTTAGACTGTGATTTGTTATCTGGTACATACTTCTAAGACAATGCCAAACAAAAAGCTAAATTTAAAAACTATGACTTTTGTTGTGGGGGGTTCCAGACATGCCAAAGGAATGTGTGTCAGCAATGTTAGGCTTAGCAGCCACGTAATTTTTAAGTATACATATTTTTATAGATGCTCTTGGATGACAAAAACTGAGACGTTTCTATTAGCTGTTTGAGTTACGTTTACTGTCACTGCTTCTTGGTTATTACTGTCACTTCAAGAATTTATATTGGAATGGGAATGGGGAAAAAAAAGTGAACAGAATCCCTTCTTTTGTTTATGTGCATGACAAATTTATTGCATCCAAAGAGAAAAATGCCTTTAATTGTTTGATCTGGCTTTTGTGCTCATATGGGCAGCCACTGGGTCCTGCACGTATATTTTGTCTTTATTTGCTTTGTCATGTATTGCCTTTGTTTGTGAGTCAGTTTGCCTCATGCCAAATGATATTTTATTTCTCTGAATTGTGTGATTAGTTGAGGGGATGGGAAAATAGACTGTGGCTTTGAATATAGGAAATGAGACAGCAAAACGGACTTTCTGATGCAGGGAAGGGAAGTGCGTTTGGACCTCAGATCCATCCTACATCATAGGGTCAGCGCAACTGAGCTGGGAAATACGGCAGTATGATTTTTGCCAGCTCACACCTGAATCATACCTCTGTATTAATATATAGCCCAGCACTCTGAATCGAAGCATCTTCAGGAATTGCTCACAGGCTTGCTACCTTCTTAACCATCTGAGATATACCTTGGCAATACACCCAACGATGCGGTCTGACCTTCTGTTGACAAGGGTGGCTTTCCTCCAGAAGTAGTTATCTTTAGTATGCCTAGTCCTTTATCTAAAATACCCAGCTTTAAACTGTTTTGTAGTGATTTGATTTCCATTCATGGATGGAGGTAAATATTTTCAGTTAAAGTAATTCTGAAATTAATGTTTGGCAGTAGCATTATTTCAGAACTTAATTTTTGGACAGAGACTTTTAAGTAAATCCGATGAGGGAGACTTTGAATGTATCCTGCATGATTGCTTCAACTGAGTACAGAGTATATTGTATCTTATATTGCTGTAAACGTGGCTAGTTATATTCTGTAATTTCAGTTTTTGAAAGATACCTTTGTTAAACATGTAGGTTTGCTCATGGCCGTGTGTCATCAGCACTGGTGGCTGTCATTTAATTGCCTAGCAGCTGTTCCACTGCATTTCTCTTGCCCACTGTCACTTTTGTGGCTGCATCCAGGCCTGAAGCATTGTGGATCTGGGCCAGTGATTCATTTCTGGTCTGTGTTACTAGTGTGCAAGGTTTCATAGTCATCTGTTAGCAATTGAGCTGTAGATGCAAAAGTCCATTCCGTTAGTTCTTTGGTGATAAATAGTAGGATTCTAAGGTGGTATCCTGTACCCTGCCATTACTGATCTGAACCTATCTGTAGTAATCACCACCTTCTGTTTTATATCAGGAGAATGGAAAGATTAATCTGTTACTGCATTGCTACCTTTGTTTTTTAATAAAGACCTGCCCCAACATACTGTAGGAGCATCGGCTCAGCACTCCCTCCATCCTGTCCTCTCCTAATGACTTGGTTGCTGTCATCCCTTTTCAACGCTGTATCTGTGGGGTGAGGTTCTGAGGTTTGCTGTCAGCTTATGCTGATCAGCAGGATCCAGCTATGGACCTTGCATAGACCCTTGTTGCCATGTAGTGAGTCAGATCATCTCACTGATCCGGCTGAAAATGAACTTTAAAAATATGCTGACATGTCAGTTTTTGATCAGCTCTGAAAGGGCCCACCACAAGTCCTGCTGTGACATATCCTATATCTCATCACCAAGGAGAAAAGCTTAGTCGTGTGTATTCCTCACCGTCACTGCTGCCCTGAACGTGTGAGGTGGTGTTATGGTGAGTGTTCTGGATAGACACCAGAGAACAGGGAAAGAAGAGCAGCTGTCGGGGAAATGATGCATGTTGCTTTATCCGCAGTTCTGGTAAAGAGTGGAGCAAGCAGATCAAGTCAAACAGCTATGCTTGCTTTCCTTGTCTTCTCTGCCTCCAGACATTTGACCCTGCCTTGGACGTTGGTCTTGGGCCAACCGAGAAAAGAGCCATCACTGTTGTGACTCAGAGTCAGCTTTGCTGAAATCATTAGTTAAGCCAGCACATAACTGATGTGAGACCAGGATCAAGATTTTTTTCTTAGGCTTTTTTCCCCTAAATGGACTAAGGGCATTTAGGTTATGAACTTACTGTCATCTTCCTTTGTAGTAAATGGAATTAAATTTATGTACTAAACATCAGTTGCTCTCCCTGGCTTTTCTAGGACGAATCCTCGACTTGAAGACTGGAACAGTAAAGAAAGAGGGTCAGCAGTCCTCAATGAGAATGTGCATGGGATCAAGGCGCTCTTTTATTTGCAGGATGAGGTACACATTTACCTTGTATTCCTGTGATGGTTCCAGTCCCATCTCAGATTAGACTTCAGACGTTTTGTTGCACTAATTTGACCTTGCTTAAAAAACGAAGCTGTAATGACATGCTTCCATTAAGCATTTCCAGAATGCTCGCTTTTAGAACTGGAGTAAAACTGAAACCTGTCTTCCTTTACAATTAATGACAAAACATCAACTGATTTGTGTGTTGCACTTATTTTTATCAGTGTAGGATGCTTTCCTCAGAGAACTTTGTGACAACCTCACCCCTGGAATGTAAGCCATTGTCTCTTCTAGTCAAATTATTTGAATCAATACTTTGGGAACAAAGCTTTTGCAAGTGTAATGAAAGCCCAACTCTGTGTATTTTTTCAGCAAACCAATAATATTAAAAGAATCTTGAAGACAAACAGGAATTCAGTTGCAAACTTGCCAGCTATGTAGGAATTAACCTAAGCCTGGTATGAATTAACCAAATGCAGCTGGTTGATGCTAGATAAATGAGTAATTGTTAGAGGGGTTTTATTTTGCAATATTCCAACTTCTCCTGTATTGCTTGGGCTTCTTTAAAGAGATCTGCCTGCCCAGTGCTTCTGACTAGGGCTTGCGGGCACTTTTGTTGTTGTAGTGCTAATGGGATAAAATGCCTGTTGCTATTGCAATAAATTTCTCTCTATGTGGTTATGGGGGGAAAGTACATAATTACATCTGCAGTCTATATCCAATATATGTGTTGAAAACAGATGATGCAAAATTTGTTATGGAATGAAACACATAAACCAAATTATTTGACACGTTAAAACAGATCCCTGTACTTCGGTTATGTGGTGGAATTCTTCCAGTCACGTGAGGAAGCTGAATGTATGGCTCCTGGGTGCCTTTGTAAGGAGTTTATATACTTCATACCTGCAAAATTAGACTTCAAAGCTGTGGCTCCTTTTCTCCCCTTAACTGGGGGCAGAGAAATACAGCCTGGCAGAGACATCTGGAACATTGCTTTCTCTTCCTCCAAGCTGCGCATAGTGGTCACATGAGGAAGCCTTTTTTTTGTGCAAAGAAAACCAAGCCTAATGTCCCCAGCTTTTAAAACAACATTTCAGATTGCAGTTATTTCCTAGCACCCTGATTCTGTAAGCTCCAGTGCATGAGAGTAATTTTATACTTGCCAGTAGCCCCATTGTTTTTGTAATTCTAAATCTTATTTTAATTGTTCATTCCTTCTCCTTGGCAGTGACTGGTATTAAAAAAAAAAAAAAAAGGAAATAATAATTAAAAAAAAAAAACCTTGTGGGAAGAATGAGCCTCAAATAATGTGAACTTTCCTTGTGATTACTTCTTCCATTGTTATTGTTCTTTTTTCCATTGAAAATGAACTGGTTTTACCCTTCAAACTGTTTACTTAGCTTCAAATGGATTGTTAAAATTGTACAGTTAGGCATAGTTAGAAATATCACAGAATATACATGAACAAGTGTTAAGAAAAGTTACTTCACAGTATAAATAGCCCTTGCAAACATTAGATTAATAATGTTGTAGCTGGTGTATGGCAGTCAAAATGCTTTGTCCAGGGGAGCTACTGGAACACTGAGGTTGTTTTGTACGGGTATTTGGGAGCCTTATTTATGCTTGGCTTATATTCTTCTCTGGTTTTCACCCTTGTTTTATAGTATTTTGAAGTGTATCTGTTCTTCAGCCACTCTTGGAATATCTATTTCAAATAGTCTTTAGGTTTGGGGGGGGGCGGGAGGGAATCTTTTTGTAGTCTCTTCTGTTTTTCCTTGTAAAATAAAGAAAATATTTGTAGCACATCCAAAAAGGTCAGCCTGTGGAAGCAGCAAGTTCTAAGAAAACAAGAATCTGGGACTTTCTGTCAGAAACAAATATCCATTGTTGTCTACTTATATATATGAATAAAGATCTTAAAATGCCTTTTCATCTTGGGTATTTATATTAATTTTTGAGCCATTTCAAATATGAATTTACTTTTAGGTGTGGAAATGCTCCTCTGGATCATTTACCTCTGAACAGAATAACCACCATGAGAAAAAGATACAGGTACTATGACTTAATTTATCACAGCAATTAGTTGCCATAAGCACTCTCATTTTCTACTAGGCTAATGCTCACTCAAGGAGTACTACCTGGACAAACATCTGCATTAGCACACAATGTAAAATAGCAATGGATCTTTTTGCAAACCTTGTGCAAGACAGTCAACTTTGTCTTAATCAGCTCCATCTCTGAAATAAGCTTCAGTATCTTTCTCAGACAAATATTACGGAAAAAGGTGCTGCTTGGATAGCATTGTAATGGAGCTGACATTGTACACAACTCTGGGTTGACAGTTGTTTCTAACATAACTTACAAATATCAGTGAATCATTAGTAGTCATAGTTTAAAAACATAAAGTTGTTATGTATATCAACCACCATGATATTTTTGCTTTTCTGTTTCATTTAGGAATGGTCTTGGCCCAGTAAAAGAAGGTGAAGCACAGTATGCTGTTGTCCATTGCACTGGCTATATCAAGGCTTGGCCACCAGCAGGTGTGTATCTATCTCATTTGAAGGTGGCGTGTACTGCGCTACCTGCAAGACAGTTGAAAACCTGGCTCAGGATCCTTTGCCAGTACAGAACTAGGCTGAATTTCAGTGGGGTAACCTATTCAGTCTCATATTGAGAAACTTTTGATATCGAGGAATCAGCTGTTGTTACTCACTCAGAGCCTCCCTGTTTTCCCTTGTGAACCCCTTCGCAGTTTCGTTGGCAGAGCCAGCAGTGGAATTGTTGGTAATGTGAGATTACAGCAGCTGGGGCCAAAAGTTTTCAAGCTGATAAACCAACATAAAAATGGCCTGATTTTAAGAAGGTAAACCCAAAGCATTTGTACCTCTAGAAAACACCAACCAGTGCTTTTATATGTAAGTACTGAGTTGCAGGCACCTACATATGAAAATGTCTAATTTCAATTTAGGTGCATAGGTCCTCACTTCAAAGTAGTGGTATTAGTGGATAATGTTCAGTCTTTGTATTAAGTTCTGTTTTGAGGCTGTTTTTTGGGAAACAAGTCTTGGCATATTGCTTTGAACTGCAGAGAAGAACATTTACCTGCTCTAACTCAGTATTACATATGGGAATATTTACCTTTGAAAAATTCTGGGAGACAGTGGAGCTCATCCAGACATTATCGTGAACTGGATTAGTTGACTTTGGCATTTGCAGTAGTTGAAGAGGCTTTTTGCAGTATGACAGTGCCTGCTGGCATGAATCAAACCATGAGTTCTCTTGCCCTTTTTCGGTCATATACCACAAGCATAGATCACATTTATTCGGGGATTATGAAAGCTAAGAGGTTTGCACTGAGTCTGTACAGTGGCACACAGACACCAGCGTGCGGATGTGAACTTCTTGTCATTTTCTGCTGACCTGCAGTTTTCGAAGAAGAGGAAAACCTCACCTCTTGTTGCTAATAGGATTTAATATACTTCAGTGTGCTGTAGGAGTCAAAATGTTTCAATTCCATTTCTATCTCAAAAGAGTGAGAGCACAGTGTGTGCAAATTGCTCTGTGAAAATGAAAGGGGTTTTTTTTGTTTTCTTCCACAAAGAAATTAACTTTTCTATTGGTAATTCCAAACGTAATTGAATTCAGTCTTGATATATGGGACGTCTCTTCAGAAAATTAAGAGGTCAGCTGAGGTTTCTTTTGCTCAAATGAAAAGCTTGCTGTGTGTTATGGGACATTTAAAGAGGTGTAACCCTTCAGGGCATGTACGTTGCTGATGCAGAGCTGCAAATGCATGAACTCAGGCCGGTGCTAGGTTACAACGTCAGCAGTACATGACTTCCAGTTGCCATTTCTGCAGGGGAGCAGGCACTGCAGTGCAGGAGCATGGGATGAAAAGGATCTTCTGGATCTTTGAGTGCCCCATTGCCAGGTATCACACTCTAAGTTCCAGGTTATGTTAGTGAGGTGTTTTCCCTGTCTCCAGCTCTTCCAAATCCTCACTGCTCCCTTATGCTTAGCAACCTCTCTAATTTCCAGTCCTCAGTAGTTTATGGGAAGTTTATGCTGGTGTATTCTTAGACTATATTGCACTGAAGATCAGGCAGGAGTTTTCCTGCTTTGTGTGTATCTCCAGCATTCTGGTGCATTTCCAGAAGGAGGTCATATCCTGTTAGCCTTGACTTTGCAAAGTTAAATCAGCCCACTTCTAATCTCCACTCTCCATTCTCTTTTCTTTACCCTTGTGTCTTTTCTCTGCACTTGTTCACGTTTTCACTTAACTTTTCAAAATGTGGGTCACCAGAACTCTACACTCGTGTCCAGATGGGATTGTAGTGATGTATCATAAAAATAATTATTTCCTATCTTGACTGGCAGTGTATGATATGGCATACTTCTCTTTTGTATGGTGCATCCGGCTGGCATCCTTAATCACCTAATATACATAATAGGGTGCCCTTTTCTCACTTGTCAACTCAAAATCTTCCAGGTCATAGCAAAAATAGCTTTGAATTGTGTGATCTTTCAATTATTAATGCGAAGTTTCATCGCATTTCTGTTGCTGTAGTTTATGACTCCTATTAGTCCCCAAGTGCATGCTTATGCATTTAGTAATGTTGAATTTCATCCCATTTCTATTACTCCATTCCTCAAATCACATGGTGCTCCCTTATGATATCCCAGTGCTCCTCCACAATGTTAATGCCTCCAAACTGTAGCACAATCCTAAGGGATGTTTTAGATTTTGACACTTCTGTGGAATTTCAGTGGTCTTTTGTGTTACCATCCAAATTGTTACTCATCATAGTCATGCCTGAATGCCTTTTTTAGCACATATAGTACTGAATTGGGGCCTCTTTCGTGAGTGTTTATTTGCCCTCCCAGTCATCTCCACTTCGTGTTGGTGATTGTCATGTATCCATTGGCTTTTGGAGTTGAATGGGAATATCCATGGCCTGAATGGGTCCCCAGTACGTTTGGGTAAATAAGTGGCAATATCACTGCATTTCTTCTCATTTCCAAAGGTAACTCAACCATAATCTGCAAAGCAAATGAAATAACTGCAGCAGTATTTCAATCTGCTAAGGTTTTTCTACCCGGTAATAAAATTTCTTTTGTTCAAATTAGCTAGAGAGTAGGAAGCTCCTGGCCTTTGCATCGTCTCTGGATTCTGGGGAATAAATGGGTTTGTGCTAAAACGCCACTGTTTAAAAATTCAGCTATGGAAAGGATCATTTTCATTTATTTTTCAGCTGCCAAGTGGACATTCTAATATAAACTCCATATCCTTTTCTTTCAGAGCATGCAAATGTGGCATGTGCCTTCTACAACTCACATACAACATGTAAAACATTCATAAACAAAATAAAAAATATTTAACAAACGTGCTTAATCTGTACTTCATCTCATTTGTTTAGCACCTGGTATTTTCTTTTCCTGGGTTGTTTTGCATTGTCTGTGGCCAATGTGTTCATTTTTTGGTGCCACAGTGGGTATAGCACAGTCAGTATTGATACAGAAATACTGACAAGAGTAGTGTCAGGTGGTAAGACAAGAACTGCTCCATGTTCATTGTTAGTGCGATAGACTATGGGGTTTGGTAACACTGCTGCTGTGAGTAGTCTATGCTAAATCTCCTGAGTAATTCAAATACTTAAAACAGGTGAAAACAAGTGACAGTTGGCATCAGTATGGTGGCATCTTTTAAGGACTGGGAGTCTTTTTCACAGATCTAAAGTAGAAAGCAAATTGTGTTATGGCTCAGGTCTGTGGTCAGTGTGAAATCACTTCGCACATCTAGCCTGACTTTTTTTTTTTTTTTGTCCCTTATCCTGAGTGGAGCAGGAAGGCTCACTTATTGGCCGATTGCCCTTTTTCCCTGACAAATGAGGAAATGAGAGAGAAAACACGGGAAGCATCGTGCCTCATCCTCCGCACAGAGCTGAGCTCGGAGCATGCAGGACCCGCAGGCAGCACCTGCCTCTCCTGTGTTTCCTAACAAAGCAGACCTGAGCGCGCCCTGTGTTCCCCTGGAAAAGGAGCTGTTTGGCTGTTCCCTTAATGCAGTGTGCTTGCCTCTGAGGGAGTGGGGCACAGAGAGAAGACCGAGCCGCTTTGAGGAGCATGTCCGTTCAGGCTGGGTTTGTTAATGGTCCGTTCATTTTCCTCCATTGTGCCTGCAAGAGGACGGTAAAACTAAGCCCAGCATATGGTACCTACACACTTATATCCCCATAAATTATATGTTGTCCTCAAGTAATTGGGGTAAACTTTGTGTAGAACTCAAGGGAAAAAGAAGTCAGATATTCCAGACCAAGTTCCAACCAGTTAGATGTGCTCATTTCTTATGTGGAGTGTATGCTAGATTAAATAATGACAGTGCGGACTTGGATTATTTTGAGTGAGGTAAAAAGACCCCTTGTTTGAAACTGGCTGAGCACAAGTTCCAGCCCTTGTCCCCCTGTTCCTGGTGAAGCAGCTGAGAAATGCTGACCTTCTCCGGATCATTCTGTTTTCAACTTAAGCAAGCATTTGTTTTTCTTCTTTTTTCTTTTTTTTCCCCCTCTGAGCATCTCATTCCTGGAAGGAGATGAATCTTATGTGGTCCATATGATATTTTCCTAATGTTTTTTTTTTTTCATGCTGTAACAACTGATGGAAAATATTTGGTGGAGAGAGAAGATACAGGCTGTCAGGATGTTGCTAGTTTTCTGTAAATCAAAGCCAGGACCTGCAGAAAAACACATAGGCTTAGATAGATACTTATTTCAAAAACTTCAAATAAAAAGTCCCAGAATAATGTTAAATTCAAATACTGTTGAAATATTTTTTTTTTCCTCCTTAGTTTTTTATCTTAAAAAAGAAACATTTTAGTCTTCCAAGTCAGACTTACGGTAACGTCTTAACCACAGCATGCCAAAGCTGTTAGGTTATTTTAAAGTTTTGGCCAGAATCTGGATGTTTGTGCAAAGTACTCCCTCTTCCAATACAAAACAAAATAGTTGCTTGAGTATTCTTTGCAGTGCTGTCATTTTTAAGGCTTTTTTTTTTTTTTTTTTTAAAGAAGAGTTTACTGTTTGCTGGGATTTTTCACGAGATTTTTCCTTGGTATGCTGTAAACATCCACAGCCTTTTTTTGTGAAAGCCTTTTTCCGTTGTTGTGTATGGGAGATGATGGCGTCACCCAGCGCAGTTTCGTGGGCAGGCGTGTAACTATCAGAAATGGTTCTGATGGAGGCAGGCATTAACAGGGGATTGTGAGTGACCGCTGGACACTTAAATTACATCCTTCTAAAGACTCATAAATAATTTGGTTTTGAGCGTAGTGAAGTAAAACCACAAATCCACTAACACTGTTCTGCGTCTCGCAGAAAATAATGGGGCAGAAGGATGGAGAAAGAAGGCAGAAAATGAAGCTGTTCTGTTGTTAGAGCCAACTGGAAGCTCATTGGGAAAACTAAAAAGTTCCTTATGTCCACACAAACAAATGCCGTTACCCTGTGGGAAACTGTTTGCTGGCATAAAGGACACTTGGAAATTAAATATAACCTCCAACAGCACAGCATTCTATTTGTGATGCTCAGTTGCAGGCTTAGCTTTGCAAATTGTTGATATTAACTTGAACAAGCGTAGCACTGTATTTATTATTCAAGGGGGGCATATATTTGGTCTTGAGAAATAAAGCCTTTCTCAGGGTTACACATAAAGAATGTGAATAACTAATGTATGTTTATTTTGTTGATGCCTCCTAAAGATCAGTTTCGTGGCTGATTTCCTGGAGGCTTTTGCAACTTTTGTTGGAGATCCTGGTGGTACTTAGTGGTGTTAAGGAGCAATATTACGTTATGGTAGGGGCTGGACAAACCAGTATTAAGTGCAGTACAGATATATTTATTTACCTGTCCATACTGCAGGACGTTGAATAGGAAATACGCTAAAGCAAAAGTAAATCTCTCTAGGAATGCATCTCATATATAATAAGCTCACCCACAGTTGAAACTTTGTAACTATCAGCAAGAGAGCAAAGAAAACAATTTCCCTGTATGGAATGCTGTCAGTAATAGCACCTACATGGCAGACAAGCAATCATTTTGGCATATTTTTACTCCAGGCACTTTTGGGGAAGGGTTAGCAATTCACTGGGTCCTTTATTGATTAATTCCAGGCAGATTGTTTTTTATTCATAGGGTATCTTGCGGGGTAACCCAACTAATACATTTTCCAGTGTGTTATGCAGACCAAATGTAATCCATCTTGGAGGGGGGAAAAAAAAAGATGAAAATTAGAACAGCCTCCCTTGCCAACAGAGTGACATCAGAAATGGTGTTTCTTAGCTAGGTTTAATTTTGGAGATTGTTTATGTTGCTTTGGGTTTATTTGGGCAGTAGCAAGCATGGACCAAGTTCCTAAAAAGGAAAGTGTTGTTGAAAGCTGCAGAAAAAAGATTATGCGAAGTGGAAGCCATCCAGCTGAGCGTCTTTGCTGTCCTTTGCAATACACTGCCACTAAGGAAAAGACTGAAAAAGCTTTTGAAGTCAAGGGAAAATGCTTTAAATCTGTCCTTCTCAGATGGAAAACTCCATTTTAAAGGGACCTTTTGATTAAGGTTATCCAGCTAGAACACCTAGAATTATTTCCTTAAAACAGCACTTAGGCCCGTGTGTTACAAGTGGCCTAATTCTCAGAAGTACCAGGCATCCACCAAGAAAATCCTCTGAAGGTGGTAGGACCTAGAATCGCCCACGATCTTTGAAATCAGAGCACCTGTACCGAGCTCTCTGAATGTAACTGTGATTGCTTCAGGCAGCAGCGTTTAAAATGTTTGTTCTTTTGGCTGACGGTTGAACTTGCAGGTTTATCCCGGTGTGGAGTTTAGGACTGAGGAGTGAGAGGCTCCTTATCCATCTCCCAGGGGGATGCAGTCCCTGCTGCTGTCTTCCAAGCAAAGTGTTAGGTCAACTCTTCCATTGCTCCAGTGCTTTCTTTCCTCCCATGGTTTTGTACACTGATGTGTTTCTTTTGCAGCAGTCTCAGCGACCTCATGCTCCATCCTGAAGTGCTTCATCATTTAACTTGTCCTGCTCTCAGTTCACGCCTCAGTCACTGCTTTGTAAGGTGAAACTGCTGGATTCCAGTTATCATCCCCTGCAAACCATGTGCAATTTTCAGTTAACCATTTTCTTATTTGAAATTGAATTGCTTATGTGGAGGAGTCTAGGTTTAGTTTTGGGAGCTCACCTTTCCAGGCCCCCAGATGTGTGTGAGGTGATAGCAGCCATGCGTCTGCCAAAATTTTGTCTAAAGTGAACACAGTTTTCAGTAGGTATGTTTGCTGCTGCTTTTCCAGGGTAATTTTCTCTCTCTCAAGAGGCAGCCAAATTCAGTTCCTTTGCCTATTGGAGCTGTCATTAGCTGATTACAAAGTCTTGTATTGAAGAAGTAACTGTGTGTAAATACAGCTAGGAAGGAAAACAAAATACTTCTGTAATATGAATCTCTTAACTGTAGTTTCATGTCAGTGGTTTATGCTCTTCGTGGTATGCTGGTGTCTCAGAGCATGGGACTTATTTGTGATTGGGCTCTTGTTTGTAGTTTGCCTGGTGTGTAACAGAAGAGAGACTGGAATAGCAGTGTGTGAAATACCAAAGCAATGCTTTGTAATTTAACTGCTTGAAGGATAAACTGATAAACTGCAGGCAGTGCAGAACAGTCCCACAGGGAGGGTAAGTGCAGGTTGTCTTCATTGCAAGGACGTTCTAAATCAGATGAAGGATCTTGAGTGAAAGTTTGGAGCCCTAGTAACCCACAGAGGACCTTTATCGTAAGCACAAAATAATGTTTAATTGAAAAATAACACGTGTTGATTCCTTCCAATGTTCTTTTTGACTTACGTGTTTAATAATTGATTTCTTAAAATGTACTTGTAAGGTCACATACAGCCCCCTCGATCTTCTCATACAGCTTCTAAGAAAACATTTCAGAGGAGCATCCTGGCGTTTGGTGAAGAATATCACGCAGGTTTAGAAGCTAAGGAGTTATTGAGGGCCAAATTTGTATCTCTGCTTAGTAAGATCATTGTGTAGAAGACAAGGGGATTTTGCCCACCTCTTGTAGTGTGTGAAGTTGAAATTTGTACTGCATATCAATTTCCCGCCTGTTAGAAGGGGCAGTAACGCTCCTCCTTTGTAAAGCTCTTGAGATCCCCTGATAAAACACTAGTTATCTGTTGTGGGCTGCAAATGAAGTTAGGCCCCCGAAATTGTGAATTCCATTGCAAATAAAGTTTGAATATATTATACAAAAATACAGGGTTTTTTCTTTCATACTTTGTGTATTTTATTTTATTATGTAGCTCAATGGGAACTGAAAAATGCCTGTAGAGTGCTATTTAGAAACTGATTGTCAGTTAAGATTCAATTATTTTGGTACAAAGTAACTTCCTTTGGAGATTATTTCGGTTCATTCAGCGGCATTTATAGTCATTTTTCAAAGGCGTCATTTAAGGAAGTGGTATGCTGTCATCCTCTGCACGGTCCAAAGATTGACTTACGTTGGGAATTACAAATTTTGATAATAAAGTGGCTGTTGCTTCATAATTTGCAATTAATTTCATTAATGCTTTAAAATGCCTCTTAAATTATTCACTGCCTGAATTCCTTGAAAAGCCTTGTGAAAGAGTTTACAAATCACTTAAAATAAGTCAGCAGTGTCACTCTTCAAAGATGTTTTTTCAAGCGCTTCATAGGAAACTGGTATCTTAAAACTGGAGTTGGGAAACAGCCTTAACTAAAAGGCCTAGCAACTAGCGAGTAAACAGAGCTAATACGAATGTTCCTATTTGTGAAACACTGAGGTGGAAATCAATACGCATGTATGTTTTGAAATTATTCCTGTGTTTATAATAGTTACTCCTGTTACACAACTGAAACAAGCACTGTTAGCAAAGCATCTGCATTTCTTCAGTCTTTCAACGGAATGACCCAGATTTAGTCCATTATAGAAAAAAGTAAAACCAGCTGTTAAATAAGAGCACAAAGTTAATGAAAAATCTAGGCTGTCCCTTGTTTTAAAGGCTCATTATAATAGATTATTCACAAAGAAAACTGAACATAGTGCACATTCACTGAACATAGTAAGTGACCACATGGTTCCGGTAACATGCTGTGGAGAAGTACTCATGGAAATGTTATTGTCCATCTCTGTGTGTAATGGAATTTTTGTATCTGCTTTGTCTTTGGCAGCCAAAAATAGCTGCAGTAGGTACTGTATATGCCTGTGAGGTATGTAGGATCAAGCATGACTGAGAAAGATCATCTGATCTGAACGCAGAGATAATGCATTAATAAGACAATAAGGTTATTTGGTATGATTTAGAGCATCTAGAATAGCATAGAAACAGGCCAGAAGCATCTCTGCTCATCCCAGTTTACTAATTATAACAGCATTTGTTATTATTTACTTTAGGAATGACTATACCAGAAGAAGACGCTGACGTGGGACAAGGTAGTAAATATTGCCTTGTGGCAATAGGAAGGCTTCAGGTAATGCCAGTCTTTCCTTATACAAACTACTTCTGAAAGCGCAATTGGTGGTGTGGTTTAGTTGTAAAGGATTTGCACAAAGGTCTTAACTTCTAACATGCCTACAAACTACGAAGCGCCTTGATGTCCATTTGCAGCCAGTGACTTACAGAATCATAGAATGGTTTGGGTTGGAAGGGACCTTAAAGATCATCTAGTTCCAGTCCCCTCTGCCTTGGGCAGGACTTGTTTAGGACATGTCAACAGAGCAAAATGAAAATGAGATTTTGGTGCATATGTGTATTTAACACAACATCAGTGGCAAAGATGCTCCTGGAGCGTGAGCATGTACAGAGCTGCTATTCTCTAGGGTGTGTAGGGCTGGGATATTCTACATTCTGAGAAATGTGGGAGTACAGGTGCTGCAGATGGTAGGTTAAACTGGCTCCCAAAGCTGGTGATATGCTGCCTGCTATTCTTTCGTTCATTCTCTCTCTCTGGCTAACCAACTACTTGAGAAACAGTGATTGCAGGAGTTATTCTGGAAATGGTAAAGATAAGGCAGTCAAGAGGCACTTCACAAATAATAACTTCATTCTCAGTGTGTACTGTAGCGTGCATTCAGATGTGATGTCAGCCTAGGGAACTGTGAGAATAAAATTTTACTTCCTTTTTGTCCAGACAGTTGCAATTGATGTTTAACATTTTCTTCCTTTATCCATTGCTGATGAGAATTCTGAGCAGGAGCTAGAGGAGTTGCAGTGAGTCTCCTTCACCGCAGCAGGGAGGCTACTTTTTATCTTCCCAGTCTGGGAACTCTGCCATGGGTGACTGTGTTTGAGCCTCCTGCATGATCTCCTGTTGGCCTGCACTCTTGCCATCTGCTAGGATGGCATCGCTCCTTCTTAAAAGGCAGAACGACTCTTTCGTTAGAGGACAGGTGCCAAACCCATCTTATTTGAGGTGAACAGCCTGCACGTTACTGCAAGTGTTAACACTTCTGCAGAGTGTGTGTCCATTGCGATGGCAGACCTGCAGAAGTATTACATGATGGTTTTTACATTAATCATGCTTTTATAGTAAAGGCTAATATATTCCACTAAAGGAGAGAAAGAAGTTATGGGGATTTGTATATTACAGCTGCCAAAGAAAGGTGATTTCTGAGAAAATCACTTTAGTAACATGTGGAGTGTCAAAACGTGTGTTACATGAGAAGAGCCAGCAGGGTCTGTGAAGGAGGGCAAGAGGAGGCTCTGTGGATGGGCTTAATCACAAAGGAGTCAAGGTGCACAAATTAAAAACTCTGTTCTGTAACAGCAAATTGAAATCTTGCATACTGGCTGATCTCCTTCAAGATGGAAAAAACCCTAGATTCTGCTCTTTTTGCATTGGGAGATAGCTCTGGAAGTTGTAAGAAAAACAATGGTTCCATTAGGAATGAATGGATATGAAGTGGCCTGATTCCACAGGTTTCAGGCAGACAGCTGGAAATGCATCATTCTCTCCGATGAGATATGAGGAGCATTTATAGGAGGACTGTGTTTTTTCATTATGAGCAGCTACTTGCTCGTCTAATATCGCCTACATCAACCTCTGGAGAACCTTGTTCAGGTCCTCTGGGTATTTCAGGTGAGGTTCATTTCATGTGAAAGTTGAGTGTTTAGTCTGAGCTGGTCCTATTGGATATGTCTACAGATAATGAGTTGGCCTCTTCTAGAGATTGACCTTCCTATCCTAAAATGGGTGGAATGAATTGTCCTCTGCAAGTCTCTCATTCTTGGTTGACAAAGGTAGGAACCAAGATGCCTAACTTTCATGTGGTGCCACAAAGTGAGATGAATCCAGCTGTACTTAATTCCTTACTATATCCCTCCTTCTTGGGAACTTCTGGTGTATTTGTTTTCCTGCTGTACTGCTAAGCCTAGGTAGGTGCAATGGGGTGAGGTATTTGCCCTGCAAACTAGACCAAAGGCTGTTCTGTGTCATTTATTTGTGCTGCTGTTTTATTTATAACTTCCTTTAGTAGTTGTTACTCTGCCAACAGATCTTGTTCTTTAGCTACATAATCAAATTTGACGTAAGGTGACTGTTTTGTGGACTAAATGCTGTGGAATTCATTGATCATAGGTAACCAGCTCTCCAGTGTGCATGGACATGAATGGCATGTCAGTCCCAACCGAGTTCTTGTCTAGGCACAACTCTGATGGAGTCATCACCTTTGTCGACCCAAGGTGCATCAGCGTCATTGGCTACCAGCCCCAGGTCAGTGAGTCGCTGTAAATGTGGAGAGTGGTTAGAGCTAATGAAGAAAATTCTATTTGTGTGTTAAAACCAAAAGCAGCAAAACACGACATATTTGTAGCTGATAATTTGTGTATCATGCACTAAATGCCATTCATTTTTCTTTGCTGTCCACGCCTCTGTAAAATTTCCAGTTTTCCCCTTTGTTATGTATTTACCTTTTAGAATCAATTAGAATCTTAACAGCAAGATGCTTTAAACCTTGCACAGCTTTCCAGCGAAGACATTTCTGTGATAGAAAGTTAACAGTGCTTGGAGAGAGTTTTAGTCCTGTAGGTCTTTACTTCTGCCAATCTGTTGAACAGTAAGCAAATATCATTTATGGCATCTATTTTCCTTTAGGCTTACATCTGTTCCTCTGAATAGGTGGCTAGTCACAGAACTGAGTAGAATAGTGAATGAGCTCCTGACTACCACAACTCTTCCTCAGATAACTCTCAACAGTTGCAATTTAGAGGCAAAAATAATAATTTGTTGCTCATTTGGTTTTCCCATTTATTTTGATTTTAGGTAGCTTTATAATAACTTTTTGCAAAAATTAGTGCCATAAAATGAGCTGTAGTAGAGGATGTCAGTCTTTCCAAGACACCATTTTACAGATATTAAAAAAAATCACTTAAAATTCACTTGTAAATACATGTATCTATGCAACGGTACAAATATAATGTGGGACATGATGCCTACAAACCTTGTTTGTATGATTCGTCCCCAGTTAACTGAATGGTCCCACTAAGGGTGGTAGATCTAGTGTCTGCAGGGATTACTTGCAGATCTACACGTGGATTTGTGTTGTGGTCTGGGTTTTTTACACAGCTTTATGTTTTATTCTAGGATCTTCTGGGGAAAGATATTTTAGAATTCTGCCATCCTGAAGATCAAAGCCATTTGAGGGAGAGTTTCCAACAGGTGCTGTGTCCTGCTCCTTTTCTTCTGCCATTTTTTTTTTGTTACCTTTTTGTTAAGACAAATAGCTTTTATTTTTCATTTCAGAGTGTTTTTCTGATACGAAACAATGTGTTAATCAGTTACTAATCAGTTAAACTACATAAATGGTAAACTGCAACACCTGTTTGCTGCATTTTCAGAAATGTCACCTATTTATACATTTTGTTTCCTTTTCACAAAAAAATTAAATGAATGTTCACTGCACCATTAGAGCTGTTTTGGAGATGCCTGTGTAGATCCCACTATGTTAAATGGTAACTGGAAGTATTTACCTTCCAAGGTGGGCTGCTGATATGAACGTAGTTACACTCCTCTGTGATGCTAGATTGTTTATGACCTAAATTCTCTTCCACCACTTCACATTAGTAGAGAATTTGGCCCTTCTCCCTATTAGGAATGGAAATGCAGACAGAAATACAACATCTGGAAAGAGTTACTGATCTGGATTCATTTTTACAGTGGGCCATATTTACATCAGCTATATCAAAGGCATTTATTCTGGTGTAGAGCTTATTGTTTCAAATTGATCTGGGACATACAGCCTTATGCTTGCTGCTGGTCTTTTCAGCGCCTTCCCTGCTGCACTAGAAAGTGCGGTATAATATGTTCAACTGATTATGAATATGAAATATGAAGCGACTTCTAAAATCATTTGTATAGCCCACTATTTATAGAATCATAGAATCGCTTGGGTTGGAAAAGACCTTTAAGATCATCGAGTCCAACCGTTAACCTAACCCCCATCCCACCACATACAGCCTTATGCTTGCTGCTGGTCTTTTCAGCGCCTTCCCTGCTGCACTAGAAAGTGCGGTATAATATGTTCAACTGATTATGAATATGAAATATGAAGCGACTTCTAAAATCATTTGTATAGCCCACTATTTATTCAGGCATGGCATGGAAAAATGGAGCTTGAAAAGCCTCTCCAGGGAAAACAGCTAAATGCTGTTCTGTGTCCATAGAATAGATTATGAAACTGAGGTTATGGTCTCTACAGAAGTGTTTGAGATAGTATGAATTATCAGTACTCTTGAGCTATTTCTCACCACCCCCTCCCTCAAGCGGAGGCTACCAACCCCATTGCAGGGCTAGCAGAAAAGACTGTGAGCACTCTGGCCCACTTCAGTGTCCCTTGAACAGACTGAGTTCAGACAGCAGCTAAGGACCTTTTATATTCAAGACATTGATTCACAGGCAGGAGCCTGTGAGAGTTAGATGCTTGAAGCAGGTCACCACAGCCAGTCATCTTCTCTGCCCCACCTTGGCTGGGGGTGAGATGCTGCAGCGGAACCTACCTGATAAGTTGTCACCAGGAATCAGGTCCTACTCCCACTTCTCTCCTCCCCTCCCTCTTCCTCTCCCTTCCTACTGTCCTGATTAGCGCTGAGGGACTTGCCAGGTAGGCTAGCTAAGGGACTAATCACGTTTGCATGGGACTAGCTTTCAGCTGGTTCAGCTTCCTGAACCTTGTGCTTGATTGCATCGGTGGTGCAAGAAGAGCAGCGAGAGTGCGTATGCTGGTTTTTCACTAATGCCCAAATGATTGATTCCACAAATTTATCCAAGACACAATGACAGAGAGCTGCTGGATAATAACGTGTCAAACATACGTCTTTGAAGTGATTGCCTGGGGCTCAGAAGGGCTGACTAACATTCAGGTTAATGACTTGGTCCTCGCTGTGTTCCCTGAGAGTGAGATCGGGCCAAGGGAAGCTTCCGGTGTATCCCTGAACTCAGTTGCTGGGGACTTCGCTGTCATTACTCGCTCTCAGGCATATGCATAAATGATTTGATGTATCAGGGACCTACATGGTTTGCTTAAGGTCCTACAAAAATACAGGAGGAAAAAATGCAGATTAGAAGTGAACATTCCTGTTCATTCGACCCGTGTCCAATCTATGAAAATATTGTGCTGTTTCTTTAGAAGGCAATTTCTTTTTCAGGATATTTTTGTTCGGTTACAGTAGCAGTGTGATTTGGGCTGTTATTTCAGTCATGCAATAAAAGACTGAAGTAAACAGTTAAGCTATGCACCAGGTGGTTTTTATTTCTAGAGAATGTGAGAAAGTAAAGGTTAAACATCAGCTTTGAAATTTTTTTTGTGCCGTCTTGTTTGTGTGCACTTTTTAAAGACAGTTCAGGATTTTCCCACCAGCGATCTCTATGCTTTATATATTATTACAGAATTAGTGCTTGCTTGATTCAGACCTCCGGACAATAGATCATGACAGCTTGTTTTATTATTGTTAGTTTGGCCTTAGAAATCTTTTCATTAAAAAGGTAACTGTGATTTCCAATAAACTCCCTATTTTTCTAAAGCCCTCTGAAAACTTGACATTTCTAATTTGCCGACAGGATCAGAACCAGGTTGGTGCATAACAGAGGAGGGAGGGAGGGAGGGTTTTGCAGTTTTTGGTCGATTGCCAGTATCCATCTCAAAGCTTTTACTTCCTTTAGAAGATAAATTCATTCATCAGGGTGGGAAAATCAGGCCAGAATAAGATAGCCTCAAGGCCAAGATCAACAAATAGAGTTTAGTATCAAAGGATCCAGTATATAGCTATTTGATATCCAGTAGGATGCTATTCAGATTGGACACTTTTACATAAGCTCTGTGTTTTTTACCCTGGGTGTGGTAGTAGAAAATTGCTGATAAAAGAATGTTGCTCACTGAACTCAAACTACAAAAGCATTTAAAAAAACCCACAACCAAACAAAATGTATTTACCTCAGTATTATTTTGAACTTTCCTGGGCATTGCTAAAGCTTTTTGTGTCTTCTATTTGCATTCTTTCTATTTAATCCTGTATCCAATTGATCAATTTGAAATGCAGACCTTTGGAAAAAACAGGGTTGGAGCATTTTTCCTAATCTGATTGCATGTCGATAAAGACAAGGGTAAATACAGGGTGTTCTACTTTTTGAGAATACAGGCTGCAGATGGCTAATAAAACATAAATTCCAGTGGATAAGGATTAAGAATCCTCCACATGATTTGGCATTTATTTGCAGTAGACCTTCACTTTCCTTCCCTGAAGCACCCCTGAGATAGCTTGGTGGAAAAGCAATAAAACATAAACAGATAGCCCAGGTAAGTGCCAGCTGAATGACTTGAAACTGTATCAGTTTTCTTCTGATTTTAACCGAGATTGTTAGATAACACATAAAATGCAGTTACAGTGCCAGCATGCAAGTTTTGTTTTGAGCATACTTCTTTAGTTGGCTGCTTCTTACTTCCCGCTTGATGCCCAGCTATTGACTTGGCCAAAACTTCAGCTACTGAAGACAGAATTTGAACTGAGTACTGCCAGACATTGGAATTCTTAGTCTCAAACCAACAGGCTGTCCAAGCAAAGAATTTGCTCTCTGTTTCCTTTAATACTATTAAAATGGACAGTGGCTTACTGGCGTTCTCTCCATTCAAAGGCTGGCTCGCTCTTTCTTGTTTTGAAAGGCGGAGGTAAGTGTTTCCCGTTAGCACGTTGCCATCGTAGATGGTCCTATAATGTGTTTGGGGAAAAAAACCCCAACCAACCATGTACGGTTTTTAAAAAAAGCCATCTTTTTAAGTATTATCCTAAATTTTGATGCTGTTATGTGATCTGGTATATCACGTACATGACTTGTATAGGTAGGTATCCAAGCAGATAAGCAGATAGTCAACCTCAAAATGTTTTTTCTTGTGGGCTTTCGTTTCAGCTGCAATGTTTGGTTTATAGTCTATATCTAAACATTTAAAAGATCCTCTGTTTGGTTTCTGTCAGTCTCTCAATAAGTGTTCCAAATTAAAACCTTCTTAAAGCTTCCCTGTTGGGATGACAGCACAACCTGTTGGTTGTCCTGAATCTGTATTCTTCTTCTATGCAGGCTGGAAAATGGCATTTTATACAACAAAGCGTGAGGGTTTCTTTCTGAAGGAAATAGCTGCAAACATGAGTCAGATTTTGCTTATTCTCTTCAAATTAAGGTTCTCCCTGTTGTGTCCAGAGCTCCCTGTAATTCCAGTTTAAAACACACCGGTTACTGCTGTTTACTATTTATTTGTACAGCAGGTAGCAATCTCCTTTTATTAACCTTTCCAAATGGTTTTACAGGTTGTGAAACTGAAAGGTCAAGTCCTGTCTGTGATGTATCGTTTTCGTACCAAAAACCGGGAATGGATGCTGATCAGGACCAGCAGCTTCACATTTCAGAATCCTTACTCTGATGAGATCGAATACATCATCTGCACCAACACTAATGTAAAGTATGTGCCTTTCCAGATGCTTGTGTACGTGGTTTTGAAAGAATTTAAGCATTGCTTTTTGCTGTAGCCTGTTTCTAGCTACGTTTGTTTCTCTATAACAGTACAGCCTGTAACAGGGTTTTTCTGCATCATGAGATCTTACAGCGTAGCTGTTTCTCTGTGTCGTTATCTTGTGATGCTTCCAGGACCTGGCTGCACTGGGGGAGAGACGTCACTTATCTGTTATGTCATTAGACAAGCCCATTGATATCAGTCCAGGCTGCCTTAAACTAGCACAGAGCTTCCAGCAGCAGACCAGCTGTCCTGATATTGGAGGAAGGTTATCCGGATTCCTAAGCCAAAGAGAAAATTGCATGATCGTGTTCATTTTGATCATACCATTCCGTAGCCCTGGGCATCTTCTTCTTGAGCTGTATCGATGCTTACAGCCTATGAAAGCTGGAAAAGTTATTTCCCAGTAGGCTTGAGTGGGAAGGGTTCCTGATACTCAGTTAAGATCTGGTGGAATATCCCCAAGTATGGGAACAGATCCAACCCCTTATCTTAAGAGGGAAATTAAGTCATCATGTCTTTGCATTAATATTTTCAAAAATCTGTCATTGGACTTCTTAGGAGGAGGTCACCCTAGGAGTATAGTGGAGCTTCGTCACTGTGCAACTGAGCAGAGGTGCTTTTGGAGCCTCTGAGTTCTGAGCCAGTAACTGCAGAAGCTAATCTGGCCTTGATAAAGCCATTGCTATATAGTGTGGGGTTTTTTAATAAATATTTCTGCTTTCCAATATAAACTTAATTTATTTCTAAAACAAAATGTGCTTCTGGTCTGACCAAAGATTTTTTTTTTTTTGCCAAGTTTTTAGCTCAGAGGAAATGATTGCTTTTAAGATCTCAACCTGTTAGACTGTATAATAAAAATGCTGAATGAGCAGTCTACTAGTGGAGATGCATGCTGAGAGCTCCACTTGCAAAACGAAACCCCCGGGGCTTTGGTATTTGAACTTAGAAAGCTATTAAGTGTGTCTGGGTGTTCCTTGACTTGCTCCTTTGGACATGACACATACCTGGACTAGTCGGGCTGTGCTTTCACTCACTAGAATCCAAGCATCACAATTGTTTTGCTCAGTTTTCTCTGCATACCCAAAAAGTCGGGCTTAAACAACTTAGTAGTTAAGCTCATTGATGACAAATGTGTCTTGAAATCAGGCAGCTAAATATCTCCCTGTCTTCCCTGTGCATCAACATAGATATTTCCATATTTCTGCTGTCCCATATTTCTTTTTCAAATAATTTGTATATGCAAAAACAGGCCTGCAAAATAAAAAGCAACTTCTGAAATCTGTCCCAGGCTGGCTTTGAATGTGCTTTGTTCCCAAGAGTCCACAGATCAAAAAGTGGGGGTGTAGACTTAGGTCGTGTTGACTCTGGGAATGTTTTTTTCCAGGCCTCCACTATACTGTTCTGCTTGGCATTGCAGCGCTTACTGTGATGAATAGGACTGTGCCAGCTTCTGGCTCTTGTATCTCTCTTGCTAGGTTTGAATAACAACCCAGAAATGTTGACCTAATATGGCAGTTGCCTGCTGCTACTTTGACAGAGGATGTTCCTGCTTTCCTGTCATGTAGAAAATGTTCTAAGCTTATGGCAAGACACAACCCATTATATGTCTGCTTTTGAAAAGTAGAAAGAATGCATTATTCAAACTATTTTCTGTTTTCTCCCCCTTTTCTCTCCCACTTCTCAGACAGCTTTCCAAAGAGGACTTGCTGTAACGTACTGCTTTTCCTGCCTGTTTCTGGATTATTTGTATTTTTTTTGCACATTTGGGGTCACGTTTTGACTTCTGATTTCCTAGATGCCGTGCAGAGTTGTACGTCATGGTAACTGTTGGTTTCCGCCTCCTCCTCCTCCTGCTGGGGCTAGATGTTTGGCACTGACCCCAGTGCATGTGGCCATCTTTACGTGTCGGTGGATGTATCAGATGCTGTGGGTCCAGCAAAGTGCTTCACATGGAGAGCAAGCAGTGATGCCTTCCACTGCACCCTTGTAGGCAGTTCTGCACACAGACAAATTTTCAGTGTCTCTCACTGCGATAACCTAGCCAGCTCCATAAAATACAGGTTTGCGGCAATTAAAAATTCATCATGAAATTGTGAAGACAATGTAGCCAAAAGTTCTAGGTTTAAATTAGTTTTTAACTTAGGATAGTTTAAAGCCACAGTACGTACATCTGTGTGTCTGTCTGTTAACAGAACAGCTCTTATTTTGCTTTGGTCAGTGAACAGCATTTTCCCAGAAGACTGTAGAGGGCAGTGGTGGTCCCAGTTGTGGAAGGATTAATTGATTTTTATTTTTTTTTTTGGTGTTGGTGGTTTGGTTTTTTCTGGGTTTTATCTTTTTTTTTTTTTTTTTTTTTTTTTTTTTTTTTTTTTTTTAAGATACTCCTTTGGAACTTCAAACAGTCGATTCTCCAAACTTGCTTTTGGTATGGAAGGATAACGAAACATTAGGCTCAAATGTTCACTTAGTTCCTTGCAAAAAAAGAAAAGAAAACTTCTCTCGGTTTCACTTCGGTGTAGTCATCCAAGAGAAACTTCCTGGAGAAATGAAGCGTTTAGCATTTGTGCTGGGTTCGGCTAAAAAGAAGAGTTCCCCTGTTTGACCTCATCTTCCCGTGTAGTTGGGACTCTGATTTCCAAAAAGAAATAATTATCGTGATCAACGTTTGTTTAACATACGCGTAGAGCAGCATTTGAATAAAATAATCTGTAATGGTGATAGAGAAAATGACATTAAAATCTTTGTATACATGGAAGATAGATATTTTTCTGACCTTTATGGAAAATTTGATGTTTCTTTTTTGTAAGCCCCCAAATCCTATGTTGCACTGTGTGCATTTATGAATCCTGTAGTTGTCCTGTGTCTCGAGATTCTTGTCTCGGAGGGAGCTGGCACAGGTCGCTGCTGCAGGCAGCCTCTCAGATGAATCAGCCCACGCTTGTGGGAGAGATGCTTTCTGTTTCGGATTCTCATGGGCCAAAATACTAAAGAGATCAACTATTCTGATAAAATTCCACTCTATGGGAGTGGGGCTTTCTCATGATCCCGGTGCCATCTGTGGGCTATCTGATCCCTCCCAGCCAGCGTAGGACAGAACCTTTCACAGGGGTGACTTTGAAACTGTAGGCTAAAAGAGGGAGATTTTGAGAGTTTCTGGATTTTACAAGGGCAGCCCCGAGGCTTTTATTTTGTCCAAAGCAGACACGGGAAGCACATGTGCCTGTATTACGTAAAAATAGCTTGGTGGGGATACAGTAGTAGTGTTTCTCTCTCATCATAGAGACCATTGATTTTAAAGTTCAAATCCTCTTTTGGTTACTCTGATGCCTGGAAAAGGAACAGGTGACTTCAGTGTTTATAGAGAGAGATTAATTTGGCTGAAATCCTCTCCAATGTCAAAGAAACTTTCAGAGAATCTTCCCTTTTCCTCCAAATACATTTACTGAAGTAGATTTGAATGAACTATCAAAACCTTCAGATTTGCTGAACCATTCCTTGTTCAAGCCAAGGGCTTTCCCAATTTCATACCAAACCTGTGGGTGAGCCAGGGGTTCTGCAGTACTGTCTGATTCCTCTGTTGACCCAGATAACACCTTACTTTCTATGCTGGGTATCCTGTAGAGCCAGGAAATTTCTCATTTAGTCCTTGAAGCTGTGAAACAGAAATTGAAACCAAGGATAGTTTGGGTTTTGCCCAAACTGTTAATGAGCTTTTGTTCTGTATCATCTTTACGAAAACGATCTAGCAATTGGGTGACTGAAGGGACCTGCGTGTGTTGATTGTTCCATGAAAAGGGCTGGTTAGAAGGCAAGGGCTGAAGCAACCATGACAGCAGGGCTCAGCTCTCCCTGGTCGGCTGGTCCTCGAATGGCTGCAGTTTCTTTCAGGTTTCAAGCATCATTTGAACTAATTATCCAGTAGCAGCAAACAAAGGCAGAAGATGCTAACCTGGCTTTACATCTCAGTCTTAATTGAGTGCAGCATAGCTTGCACAGAGTTCAGTGAAGATACACCTAAGTGTTTGGGTTTTATAGGAAACAGATTTGGGAGGTTGTTCCCAAAGTTCAGTGCTGTTAACACACTGTGGTATTTGTATTGTACTGCAGTTTAACGAGTATTAGAGATGAAAGATAGAGAAGGGTGAAGGAGCACTAAGTTAGAAGTGCCTACAAAACAAATAACTAGTAAGAATGCTGTTTTGTTTGGCTCATTTGTATGTATATGGCTGAATCAAGAAAACATACTTTATACGGAACAGAAGAGACCTAATGTGCTGTTTATTGACACACGCACCAAGTCGTTGTAATAAAAACAAATGAAACAGTGTAATTAGCTTTCACGTTAACAACAGGATTTAATGGGTGTTTATTGTCCACAGGGTGGTATTTAGAAAAACTTCCCCATAGATTTGCCATGATTAAATTACCTCCTATAGTTCTGTTGGAAAAGTATGCACTTCATGCTTGCAAACAAAGAATTTCTTTGCATTCCAGAGGTAATTTTTAGGAATTTTCTGTTGGCTAAAATAATGTAGAAAATCCATGGCTCTCTAATGACCTGGAGGACTAACTTTTTTTGCATGTTACTCATAGCACAAAAGTGATTCTGTGTATTATGTGTTCTTACACCATTAGGCTAGCAAGGCTTTTGGCCATCGACTCTGATCTTCGGTTTGTTGCAGGTCACAGATTTTTGTCCAATTTGACATGGAGCCTAGTAACTGGTGTCTGAGCAAAATGTCTTCTGGAAAAACATCAAGGGATGGAAAAATCTGTTACTTAACTTCAGTAGCTTGTTTGAGTGGTCCCTCACGTTTCCATCAGCTTGTGCCTAATTTGTCATTTGACTTTGTCTGCAAATTTGTGTCTCAGTCCCTTGACATTTGAATCTATCTAATTCAAAATTTAAAAGAAGATTTGGATAAAAATCTAAAATTCAAGCCTGTGGCCACATATTTTCCAGAGTTTCAAATCCATGATCTTGCCTGTCACATTATAGTGTCTCTCTGAGGGAAAATCTACGAGGTGTGTAATTCCTGTCTGCGAGGTGATTTTTCCTTCGGAAAGAGGCCAGAAGCATACAGTAACTGTGACCACTGTCAAGTACTATTTGCAAGTGTTGGGCTTACTTTCTTGCCAGTCCAACTCTACTCTTACCCTAATCTCTGAGCTTTAGCATAATTTGGGGGTGTTTATATCATCTTTGCTAACTGAGCAGAGAGCCTCACAGAGATAGTACTCTACCTGCGCATCCTCAGGCCAGAAGTAATCTTGCAAATTGTGACCAAGTGACAGAAAGCAACTGTTAACGGAAGGTGCAGAACATTTAGATAATATTTTAGCTGCTGAGGCTTTTTGTCATTACGCAGGCAGTCTTCCTTGGGATGCTGCAATGCCAGCAAGCTCCCAGCTTCACCCTAGAGACTGGTTCAGTGCCCTTCATGGTATCGGCCCATGCCAGAGCAAGGGACTCTGCCTTCTCCGTGGCAGCGATGCTTCTTCAGACAAGGGCCATGGTGGAACTTTTGCTTTGTACAGGGAAATATCAAGTTGTTGTGCCTGCGTATCAGCTGGCCTGTTGGCTGCGAGCTGCTTTCAACATGAAGTTGTGACGTGAAGGTGATGCTGTGGCCTTACTGTTCAGGGATGGTGCTTGATGAGGCTACAGCCTGGGCACAGCTCAAACCCAGCACTGTGCTGGCAGGATGTGGCTCTCGCACTCTGCTGTCCCAGCTCGGTGTTGGGACAAAGCTGGGTTTGTCCACCTGCAAACAATCACACAAACTTACGCTCAGACGGGTGAGGTTCCTAATCACCCAACGTGGAGATGGTATAAGTCCAAACAAGAAAGCATAAGCTCACATTTGAATGGTAAAATTCTGGTCTTAATGCATCAGTAACACTTTTGTCTTTCATTTCAAAAGGATTGGGTTTTATTTCCGATAAACTGTACTGCACAGTGGCTTTTTGTGTGGAAGTTGTTTTGTTACAGTAACTTCAACATTTCCAATAGCAACGATCAATATAACTGTCTTTTTTTTTTTTTTTTTTTTTTTTTAAATTAGGAGCTTTGAATTTATGTCCTTTCAGAATTAAAAGAAACAAGCGAAGAAACGGATGCAGAAGATCAGTGTGATAGTTATGTTACAACTGTATAAAAGATCTGTACCTTTTTATAAATAGGCAATAATTGCACATGTAGAATGTGAATGTGCCTGGTTTGCCACCACTGGCATGCTGTCCTCCAGGTCACCTGTCAGTTAATTCTCATGACTTCCGATGATTGTGTCTGTTGATGCTGGCTAATTGTTGTCATTAAGTAACAGTGCCTGATAATAAACACAAATCCAATGTATTTCAGGGATCTGCAGTTTTCAACACTGAAGTTCTTCATTCCAGTGTATGGCCCCTAACGTTTATGAGCTCCAGCAGTTTCTTTTGAAGCATTTTTCTATTGCTGCTGCACATTTAATTTTTCCTGAATTCATATAATTGGATTAAGGCTATTACTTCCAGTGATTTTTATCTCATTTAAATAAAGGATATTTTTTGTTCAGTTCTGAAAGCAGAATTGTGTTTTCTGTAGCATTTGTTGACACAAATAGATTTTGTGTAATGTCTTGATTTTATATAGTAGCACAAGCAATTTATTTCTGGACATTCACTTTCTTAAAAGCTTTCAAAAATTGAATATAATCTAGACTTGCATCCTGAGGAGAGTAGAACCAAAGCATGTTAAATAGGTTTTATTACAAAGAAGGATTTATATGCAGCTCTTTCTAGCTCGACAGGTTGTTCCATTTGGTCTGACATGCCTCAGACAGAGCTTTAATCACTTTTTCTTATTGACTGGCATAATTCTGCATTAATGTTACTGGACATTTCCTATTTACTTCAGTAGGATCAGTGAAGGGGTCTGATATATTCATCATTAACATGAGGAAGATGTTCTTGGTGATGTTAGTGGTGAATTCTTAAACCCTTTATAAGGAGGTTGTATTCCATCCTCCATTACTTACCCACCTACGTTTCTGTGCTATTACAGCAAAACTCATGTGCCCTGTTACATTCCTGTGGTGAAGCTTTCTCAGTGAGAAAGCTTTAAAAACAGATGAATCTCACAGGAGAGGATTTACTAAATTATCTGAGAAGACATTTCACTCTAAGTATAAAATAGGAGACCATGGCTGTTCCTTTTTGTATCTTCACCTTTTTTTGTAACAAAGTCATTTTGTCTCCTTTGCAGACAGCTTCAGCAGCAGCAAGCAGAACTTGAAGTACATCAAAGAGATGGGCTGTCATCCTATGACTTATCTCAGGTGACATTTCTCAAGTTTTTATTTTTGTGCCTCTGATCTTTTAAAATGTAAAGCAATGGCAGATTTCAGCAAAATTAAAAATGCATTGTGACTGTCCCTGAATTCCTTTTCATCAGATGTGATGGAGGGAATTACCTTCCTCTGCGTATCTCAACAGGTGCCTGTTCCAAGTATACCAGCTAATGTTCATGAGGGTGGAAAGTCTGTGGAAAAGCCTGATGCTATCTTCTCCCAAGAGAGAGATCCTAGATTTGCTGAGATGTTTGCTGGAATAACTGCTTGTAAGTGAACGTCTCTGATGTTTTAATTTTTAATACTATGTTAAGCTTGGTTAAGTGATGTGGAGCACAGCTTCAAGAGAATGAAGGGAAACTACAATGTGGCAGAGAAATTTCCAAGCGTTGTCAGTCTTCAGGACATTTCCTAGAATTTGCCTTTAGTTGTTATTTCCCCTAAAGATGATGAGTAAATTCAAGGAGGGAAGGACAGATTTTGTGTCACCAGGCTACCTATTTTCAATTCTCTTTTCATTTCACAGGGCACCTTAAGCAGTGTTTGTAGATACTAAACATACTGAGCAGAACTTGCCATTTCTAAGTATGTATTTTCTTTCTTAAACAGCAGATTTGAGTTCATCTCTCTAAATAAGCATGGATTAATAAAGTTACCATGTAGTATTAAGATAGGCCTGCATTTTTTTATCAAATCACCAGCTTTTGCATTGATGGTTTCAGAGGCATATGCTGCCCTGAAGAGTAATAATGTGTTTGTTTTCTGGTCAGCTGAGGCATCTTTACCTGTCACATTACCTGTCGGTGAGTCCTTGCTCTTTTTCCCCACAACTTTTGAACTTGTTGGCAAGTTCTTACGAGTGATAGGAGTCTCAGAAATAGCATGTTCTTCTATATTTCATTAAAATTATGGTGAGGACAGAGTTCTTACTGACTACCCTCACTGAAGGATTTCCCAGCCCTGTTTTAAGAGGTAGTAGCCAACTCCTCAGTTGGACAGCTGTAGCTGACTCAAAGTAGCCCCAATCTATGCTGTCTGTTGCCTGAACAGACAGAAGTCATTGGGAAGACTAGCAGCTGAAGGGGTCGTCCGAAATATATCTGTAGGAAACCAGGGTCATTAATTCCACTGCTCATGGAAGAACTCATTAATTGTTTATTGTTCTTAACTGTCCTCACTGAAAAAGAGAAGTTTTTACATTTGTTTTAAATAAATCAACATGCAAGTGTCACGCAGTGCATGAAGGAAACGACCCACAGGGTTTGACTCCAGGGGTGTTGGGAGATGACCTCACTGCATTGGTTTCTTATGTCTGGTTTGGCCTTTTCAAATGGAGAAGGCACTGTTACTGCAGGATAGACTTGATATTCTGTCCTCCCGTTGCTAGGACTTGTCTGTTATTCCTGTTCATCCTTGTCTGTCTACTCTAACAGTGAAGTCAACAGCTGAGGCCATGAAAGGGGTCCATTAGAAGGTAGCAAGACTCCAACCCTAAACACGAGAATATGTTTTTCCAAGCAAGAACATCTTGCTTTTTGGCTGCCTTATTGGCTCTTTTTCAGGCAGCTCTCAACTGTTTGTGGGGAGGGGTTAGGGTTAAGGGTCTAGCAAGCTGTGAGGTAGCTGGGAGGTTATGTTCTTGGAAATGCCATTTCTCTTTTCATTCTTATCAATTTACAGGCTATGCTTTTTTTGGGACATTTACCCTGTCTGAATTTCTCATGGGAGCTGTGATCAAGGTCTTCTCTGAATGATAAAAAGAGGTGGTTCACAGTTAGAGATGAGATATGCTGTCCAAAACCAATATTGACAAGCCTGCGTGCTGCCTGCAAGACATTTGCATTATGTTGATACCCGATCTCATTCTCTGCTACATTCTGTAGAAATACAGGTTTGACATAAGGAGATTGTTGCCATAATTGCATGCAGTGGCCACACGTAATTAAAAAAAGAAGTGGGGAGAGGAAGCCTGGCTTCACCAATTCATGCAAGTGCCTTGAAGCACAGGATGATGCGGTTCTTACAGAGATCTTTGTTCTACAGGCAGAAACACTGGTCCTGATGGGAGAAGGTCCTATCAGTGACCAGCACAGTGATGGGGTGTATAGAGAAACACATCTAAGGATGCAGGTAAAACACCAAAATAGGTTTTTGGTGCTGTAGCAAAGGTGAGAGCAGAGAAGTAGTGCATAAAGTCCTGAGTGGGAATACAGCTGGGAGAGATGTGGGCCAGATTCAGAGGCTAAAGAACATTGGATGTAACTCAGGAAAGACATTTTAAAGCTGGTTTAGCTACTTGTGATTAGTGTAGCTGTTCCCTTGGCCTCATCCTGTGGCACAGACCCTGGTAGCTGCCATGGCAACTCTGCTCCATTTGAGGAATTCCAGTTCATTTAGGGCACTTTCAATTTTGCTGGTGAGTTGTTCTCAAATATCTAAAGTACCCGCAGGATTTTGGCTCAGTGTCTTCCAACCCTGAGAGTTTGGTATTCCTGTAAAGGGCGGCCTTAGAAAATGGGGCATCTCATGCAAGAAAGGCATGACTGCAAAAAAAACCCAAATCATCTATCCTTCTTCTCAGAGATATCCCAACCCATTCTCAATTCTTCCTACTACATACGCAACCTTCTATAGACCTTGTCCCCATTTCTCCGTGTTTTTTTTTAATATGGGAGCGTAGGTTTGCATCCCAGACTTGGTGTCTGTGCTGGGAAATACGTAGCCAGTGAGAAAATTCTACAAATTTCTGTATTACAGAGGAAATTACAAAGCAATGACAGCTTGCATCAGTGGCATACATGCTCCTTCTCCAAGGCTCCTGTGAGGTAATTTGAGGTGACTTTTTCTTCCTTGGGAAGGCGACCTTAGATTCTTGTTAGGAACATAAAGTAAGAAGAACTCAGGTAACAGAGAAGAGCCGGTGTGTGTTGGAGGCCTTTGGTGAGCCACATTCAGAAGGTCTCTAAAAACTAGGTGAAAACTAAAAAATACTTCCATTGCTTGTGAGTTGAGTGGGCCTTTTGTCCAGGAGAGCATCTTGTGAAACAAGTGGGAATCTGAAAAGAGCAAAGGGGAAAACAAGGAGGCAGACTTCATTTCTAGGCCTGTCAGAGGTGCATAGCAACAAATGGTTGCCAAGCTATCAGCAAGTTGCGGGGTGTTTTGCGCTTGGAGATAGTAAGGGAAGATGGGGAAAGTGAATAAAGGGTGGTGGAGCAGACCTTTAAGTTATTTTAAGAAAAGTAGTAGTAGTAGTAGCGAGGTTTCTCTGGGCTTTGGAATAATCAAGTGCCAGCAAATTAAATTAAGGGACCAAATGGCACTGTTCACCCAATCTCATTTCATTCAATTAGAGATTGATCTCCAGTTGCCACATTAAGAGTAGACTATAAAAGTTAATGGCATCTCCATGTGTGTGTTATTCACTACGCTAGTCTGTCTTACACCCCACTGGGATGCTTGCATCCTATTTCATGGCTCCCTCAAGCCACATATAGGACAGCAAAATCCATAAGAGACCAGTGGTTTGCCTTGCTACAGCTCAGGTGCTCAAGTCTTGCAGACACTCGGAAGCAAAGTGCCTCCAACTACCTGTGAGATTGAAATGCAGGCAGGGGCTGCAGGATCACCCAGGTTTGCAGGTGGCCACCCTGAGATCTGCAGGCATGCCACCAGCCTGCCTGGGAGAGTCGGGTACCCGCCTCCGGGTGTCCCGGAGGGAAGCAGACTGTCAGCTGGTTAGGAGAGGGGCTCTTTGTCACCATTCCTTGGGGCATTTAACCCAGCAGGGTGTGGGCCCTCAGCTGATACCTCAGTGCAAACAGGCTGCAATAACAGTGGTGGCCCTGGAGGGCTTCTGGTGCCAGAAGCATGCCCCCACCTGAGGCCACCCCCAGGTAGCTCCAAAGGTACAGGTGCATCAGACCTTCTTCAGACCAGGCTTGTTCTGTGTGGCATTCCTCCATTCCCCCAGGCAGACTCTCCCATCTTTCTTCCAGAAAAGCTTTGTTCCCCTTTCCAGTCCTGTAGCTGGGACCCATGCACCCATCACTCCCACCTCGGCTGGAGCTGCTCTCTTGTCCCCCGTTCCCCCTCCTGCCCGCATGGCCGGGAGCAGCTTCCAGTGGGCACAGAGAAGGTCTGGGCTGCATGGCTGGAGGGCACATGCCAGTGTTATGTTCCATGCAAACAACAGCATTAATGAGGTCCATCCTGCGAAGAGGGTACAAAGTAGACACAAACCAGCTGTGCCTCTCGTTTCATACCAAATTGTCATATAGCCCTTTTGTGTCAATCTTGATGTGTTCCACAGAGCTTCTTCATAAAGCTTTAAGAAGGAAAGAAAAATCCCTGCTGCATATATACATTGCAATTCTCATTAAATAATTTTGCCTTCATTTTCTCATCCCCTAAACTTTTCTCTTCCTGTGATTTTGTTTTTCTTTTGTAGCAGATAAAAAAATGATGGCTTCGGCATCCACAGCAGGAAACCAGCAGCTTTACTCACAGGGAAGCCCATTTCAGCCAGGACATTCGGGAAAGACTTTCAGGTACTGTAGTCCAGATCCTGAACGTATCAGCTCCTGTCTGATAGTGGGGGACTGTTCCCCTTCAATCTAGTGGAAGCAAAACCTACCTAAGATGCAAGGCTTTCTTTACCTAAATGAACTTTGCTTTGTGTACACTTCACTCCTGTGTGATGTCTCAGTCCTTAGGCTAGGCTGACAAGCAGAGATGATTTGGATGTCTCTGTTAAAAATAGTGGCTGGTAAGTAGATACTTGTTGCTGTGATGATGTAACTGGAAAAAAGCTAAGAAGCAGCAACATGAAGGGAAATAAATCTGAGAGGTGATGGGGCAGGCTCAGAGATCTGAGAAACGTTCAATGGAGCTAGGAAGGTGCAAAGATTTGTTTTGCACTTACAGCAGTACTTCTGCAGGCTGCCTTGAAGGGCATCAGTGTTTACACCTTATTAAAGGGAACAAAGGGATGCTTCATCCATAGTCCCTGGTGAGGGCTGGGGCACAGGCATGAATAGTTTTCTAAGACAGCTTCCAAATACACATAAGGTGGTGATTTGGCATTTTCCAAGGCATTTTTGAGTTAATCAAAGTGCGTGTCATTGCCTACTAGCTGGCAATACAGATTTGGCTACTCTGAAGCTGAAGAGTTTGCCTTAACTTCCAGTCACTTTTTGCGAGCGTGGCAACTGTGATTCTATTTACCGTAGTGCCTTTCGTATCACTGCAGCTATTTTATTTTTATTTTTATTTCGTATTCTAGGACTGTCATACTGGAGTTTCATTCTCCTGTTTTAGACCAACCAAGGTTGTGAAAGTAAAGGAACAGCCATTCAGAGGCTGTCAGTTCCAGGAATTAGAAGACATCTGCAAATGATAATTTTATTTAAACCAATGTGTTCTTAAAGTTATAATTGCTAATAATCTCAGTGGGGAGAAATAAAATCCCCATGCGTGTGTTTTGTCAAATTAAAAGCAAGAGTAACTTGGGGGGTGGGTGGGGATATGACAGTAAATCAAAATGTCTCTTAATTGGATATTGTATATTACTGGATGGATGACTTAACCATCTTGGGGTTTGGCATGTTTTGTTCGTTTCCTTTGTTAATTCCTGATGTTGAACTATAGCTTTTTTCTTACTGCTGTTGTGTTACATCAAGTAATGACACATCTGCCGGCATTTCCACCCTCAATGAACTGTGCTCCTTGAGTGCTCTCCAGGCTGGTCTGTTCAGTGACTGAGCTTGGGCAGCCTTTGGGCACTGTTTTGCAGACTCCTGGTTTGAAAGTACGTATTGCAGATACAGTCCAAGCCCCATAGACGATGGGACTTGCCAGTCTGGCTGGGAAGGTGTTGGCAGTAGGTCCAGCCCTCCCCAGCAGCTGTTGTGTGCTTCCAAGTTCAGCCAGATTCAGATGGACTTTCTGGGACACATTGCCCTCTTTGGAGACTCAGTAGTAGTAAAAAATAAAAATAAAATTAAAAAAAAACCAGAAAACAAACTCTACAAAGAATTTCTAAACACACACTTTGCTTTTAGGCAGCTTAAGAAAGACAATAACAACTCCCATATTCACATGCCTGCCACGTTTTGCTTACCACGCTGGGAGGGATTTTGTCAGCCTTCTCAGAGGATTCAGATTCCTGCTTCCTCTCTGCTCAGCCTTGTTTACTTCTTTTCCCAATCCACTCTCTTCTTTCTCTGTAAGATTGTGAAAAGAGACAATAGGGGAGGGATTGGAGAAAAGAGCAAGCTGTTTCAATTGACGCACAAAGGCATTTTTATATGTTATGTCTTCATTTATATTCATTTATATGTTTACATATGACATGTAAAATAATAAATACATATTTTATATGTAAAAATATATAAAAGCACATTCAGAATATGTGGTTATATAGATTCAGTTGTTCAAGACTTCTGTGAGAATAAAATCGTAAAGTGGAGCAGTCCTTTTTAAAATTTTCCTTCTAATTAGGAGTTTCTGGGAAATTTCTCTGTAGTGAAATTCAGTAATTAGGAAACAGCTAACATATAAACAAGTTCTTTTGGAAATACTTTTTAATTCCAAAGCTATTATGTTAATTTAAGTTTCTGTCTTGATTATTTTTTTGCCTGGGTATATAACTGCATGCTCTTCTTTAGCATCAGTTGGTGAAAAAAGGAATTAAAAGCTCAAATTTTTAATACATAACACACACTTCCTAATTTCCCAGGCAGGAAATAAATAAAGAAGTACTTATAAGTATCATCTTTTTGTGCATCTTCATTTAGGATGACATTTAAGCAAATGCTTAAATACTGTTGACTTGAAGCACAAATTTAAAATTAAGTAGCTGCTTGAATACTCTCTGCAAGCAGGTTTTTTTTAATGCATTAAATATTAAACTAGTATGGAGCTAAACTTTTTATGCGCCGTGTGTTAGTCTGATTTTATTCTTGCAAGACCTTTCAAAGAGATTATAGAAGTCTAATTCAAAATCATATTGCCTTCTGTATCTATTTGAACTGACATTTTAGAATGTCAATATGTTTCATAGTTTTGTGATGCTTTTAAGTAATTTTTAATTAAGACAGATTGAACAATTAGTTTTAATGGGATTACCAGAATTTCCCTATCTGGAATACTATTTGTGCATCGAGAATATATCCTACAAATGAGGCACTGTTTCTGTTCCTGTAGTTCGTCCGTGGTACATGTGCCTGGTGTGAACGACATCCAGTCTTCTTCATCAACAAGCCAGAATCTGACACAGATATCTCGCCAGCTAAATCAGAGTCAGGTTGCCTGGACAGGAAATCGCCCACCGTTTCCAGGACAGGTATTGATTAAAGGTGTTTTATTTTCATGGTCGTTAAAGATTTGCAATCTCTGTGCTTTTTACAAAAGAATTAGTAAACCCCATTTATTACATGATTAAATATGTACATTGGCATTATCATTTGTGGTTGGAGAGAAATTGGTTCCCCCACTTCTGTTCCTTGGCAAGGTATAATAATTTGAGACAGCTGCCCTATACGTAACTGCATTTAGTTTGATATAATGTTCGTAATAGTGGAAGTCGTTACTCTGACATAAATCCCAGTGGAAGGTCTCGGTCCTCCACTTATTTTTTTTTATATGTGCACTGAGTGAAGGAAAAGAGGACAGCTGTTATGCTTTCGTGTTAAACCTGCAAATTAAATCTTTATTGAACCAAGGCCTTGCACCCAACAGTGTTACCCCACAGTTAACAGAGTTATTAGAAAGGGGCACATACAAATCCAGACATAAATTCAGAGCAGAGGCTACTTAGCCTGTTGCCCCTCCGTTAGCACTGCCCCGTGTAGCTCGCACTGGGTCATGTGCTGGAGGAAACAGCCCATCCCTCCATCAGATGCCCTGTGTTTGGCAGCATTAGCCCAGAAATCGCCTCTTGTTCTGCGTAACCATAAAAAAGCTGCTCTGAAACTCTATTAAAGACAAATAATATGAAATAGTCATGTGTGATCTATCATTAATGCTGCTCTTAATCACCCTTGACTTTCCATTGTTTGGTAGGCTAGAATGGCATCTTGGGGCAAGCACTAAATATTTTTTCAGTAACTGAATTGTTTCCACATTAATCACTGATTCTTCCCAGCCCTCAGTGTGCCATGGTTATTCTGTCACACCTGTTTAATGAAATCCAGTTGTAACATTAACTTTTTTTTTAAATTACATGGAGGATGCTAAAAATGACTAAAAAAAAATTACTCATCCCTCTT